TTCCCCCATCTCCTACCTACTAACCTCATCCCGCCCCCTTGACCTGTCCGTCCTCCCTGGACTGACCTATCTCCTCCCTACCTCCCCACCTACACTCACCTTTACTGGCTCCATCCCCGCCTCTTTGACCGGTCTGTCTCCTCTCCACCTATCTTCTCCTCTATCCATCTTCTATCCGCCTCTGCCTCTCGCCCTATTTATTTCAGAACCCCCTTCCCCTCCCCCATTTCTGAAGAAGGGTCTAGGCCCGAAACGTCGGCCTTCTTGCTCCTCTGATGCTGCTTGGCCTGCTGTGTTCATCTAGCTCTACACCTTGTTATCTCAGAATCTCCAGCATCTGCAGTTCCTACTATCTCTGAAGTAGTTTTAACAGCTTGTGAACACTGTTTTATCAGTAATATATTGTGACCAAACAAAGGAAACATCCTGGATTGAAGCCAACTGAATACCTATATTTAGTGGTAGGATTTGAAATCCAGGAGACCAATTAGCCAATTGTTTCAGAGATAACCAATTGTTTGTCTTCTTGAGAGGTGGTATTAATCATCAGCAGTCATGTCTTGCCACAAGAATTTTTGTAGTTGTCAAAATTACAATCCTACTGTCAATCCATAAGTAACTGCATCATGAGAGAGTTATTCAGGTTTACATACCATGACAAACAGGTAACTCCATGGGTTGAATTTTACCAACAATCAGTTAAATGTCAATTTTTGGGAGCCTCATGGACAGTTTCCCTATGTGAGCTCTTGTGAATTATCTCTCATGATGAAGCACCACACATCTATGGTGCAACTCTCGAGCTGTCTTGTGCTTTCCAGCAGCCGATGTACTCACCATTGCCAGGACCTTCCCGAATTCCCGTCACTGGTGCCACTTTTAAGCCCAGCTGCGCACCAGATCAAATACTGCCAACCACTGATAGTCCTTCACAGTACGTGTCATGGGAAGTAAATGAAAATGAAAAGTCCTGAGGGCACATAGTAATATTTCATTGCAAGTAAAATCTCACATTCACAAATATATTGCTACTTTACATCATCACCTGAACGATCAACTGGAATAATAACTGAAACCACAAGAAATGAACCAACCCAGGCCACTGGTCTTGCCAGCATGCTGTGTTAGAACCCTGACTGAGAAGTGCTATTCTTTCCTTAAAGCCCTGTGTAGCATCACACCTTGTCACTGTTCAAAGTGGAGCATCACATGTTGGAAATCTTTCAAACAGTTGAAAACATTAACTTTTATTAAGCAACAAGAAAAGTGAAGAAAACATCAACAATAAAACTTACATTTGCTTCAGGGAATCAACAGGGGCTGCTTGCATTTTGAGTAAGAAATTTGCTATCAATTAAAAATCACTTCACCCAGCGCATCCATTTAAGTAGTTGTCAGTTAAATCTTGTTTTGTGCCCTTCGCTACACCACTCTATCATGGTGAAGGTGATGTTCTTCCTGCTCAATGTCTTCACCTTCCTCCTCAGAAAACTGCTGCCACTCTCCAAGCTCTTCAACATCCGTCAAACTCCCTCTTTGCCTGCTGCAGGTTTGTGGCATTCTCTATCAGGACTGTGATGGTGACCCAGGATATCCTGAATCTGTGGCAGCAATATGCCTTGCTCATCAAGGACATTAGATGCCAGGAATCCTATACCTTCTCTGCATTGTGAGGGACCTTCAGCTGCAAATTCTTCATATACAGGTGTTTTGGCAGCCATTGCAGCTTGCTCCTGCTCCAGGCTTGCTGACAGTTTTGGTCCTCCTCAATTTCTCTGCATCTTATTTGCACCCTGGCCACAGTGATAGTAACCCCTGCTGTGGCTGGGTCCATTGGTTATGATTCCAATGAACCTATGGGAGGAATATCAGAAACAGACCAGGTGCCTTGTTACATGATCAGTCAGAATTTGCATCATATACCAATAATAATTTGTCAAAGTTCTTGGTACTGTGGGATATGGAGGAGTCTTGAGAAGGAGTGCCTTGGAATGTCTAAACATGGACCTTTGACGTAGTAGTTTTCATTATGATGTATGCAGTAAAGCCATTTCACAAAAAATACAGTGGGAGAAGGAATCTGTGGTAAGATTACTGAAATTTTGTTCCTCCATCCCACTCTTCATCTATTACAGCAGCATTGTATATAACAATATGTTGGCAAAGCTTACATTTCAAGGTGAGAGGAAATCAGCCGTGTACTCTTGTGCACCCTTTGAGACTTGGATTGTCTTTGTGAATTGTGGCCCACAAAAGGCACTTCTAAGGTCACATGCAATTACTTCTGCCTCACAGAGATGACTGTGATCAATTTCTAATGACCAATATCATGGTCAAGATTTCTTGAGCCTGGATTTATTTTTGACAAAGTTGGTCGCTGCATGTGTTTCAAATGCAGAATTCTGTCTTAAACCAGTACTTTGTAAGTGACTGATTGATGGATTTGTCCATTGAAGGGTCTCACATCACTTTCAAGAGTCCACATCCTCAGACAGGAAGAAAACTGAGTGTGCCCACTCGATGTGGTGACAGCCATTTAAAATTTCCATTGTGCATTTGTGATTCAGATTAGGGTGGAAGACAACACAGGTCACACACTCTGCAGACTGTATTGCAGACTCAGCTTGTTAATCTAGGTGACCTTTCCAAACCTTCATGTTCCTTTCTTCCTTGCACTCCCTATTGACCCATCAATTCTGAATTTCCACACATTCCCACCCAGTCTTCATCTTTCAACATTACCCTCCTGAGCCTGGGTTGATGGCTTAGTCATGCCAGCCATTGTCTTGTTCTGATCCCCATTGATGTCAGGTTGGTGGCGACAGCTGATGATCCTGCCTCCGACAGTAATCTGTGTCCCATAATGCAATATCATTTCCCACCCCTATAAGTTGAATTACCCGACGCCACAATTACAGTTTCTGCTGCGTCCCAGCATGCTGCCTCCAATTCTTACAATTGACATTCCGAACTTGCCCACCATAGAAGTGGCCCCTGATAACCTGCCTTGACTTTCATTGAACAGACTCCCAGACTGATCGTGGCCAGCCCCCAACCAACTTTGACAGTCAAACCAATGAGTGACCAGACCCCTGACTGGAGCAAACTTGGAGAGGTTAGGGAAAGCCAAGGTGGAGACCCAGATGAACAATTAATGAGCTGGAGCTGCTATATACCACCGCAATTGTCGTATTGGGAATTTCATGTGGATATCTAGTTTCTCTCTGCCAAGTGGGAAGCCAGCAAATCTCATTTAATTGAAGTGAGATATGAAGTGAGTAAAGATATGATCAAACATGCAAAAGACCTTCACCCCTCTTTATCAAGATTCTTGCCCTGTCATTAAAACCTTAAAATCAGACTTTTTGTTCTCAGTTGAGTATCTAATTTTTCTTATTTCACTATATTTTCCCAACTGACTCGCCATTCCCCATGTCATTCAAGGGTTGGGAAGATTCTGTCCATATTACTATTGACTCGCATGATTAAGGGCAACTCTGACAACTGAATGATTTGATCTAGTGAGTAGGTGAACCATACTGATAAGAAAGATTGCAAGTTTAATAAACAGTCTGTGCTCCAGAATGGATATTAGTCAAAGTGCCAATAGCAAGACAACAATGTGGTGCAGTTTATAGGAGAGAAAATCAACATGGGGGCCTGCCTGCCGTGATTGTACTGTTTCGGAGGTCATTCATGCCTCAAGTCCATATGAGCTCCTCAGGTATGGTTCAAATCAGACTTTAACATAATGCTTTTCACAGCCCCACCCATCCCTCTAGGTTAAATCGCAACTCCAAACTCAATATTGGACGAGTAATGCTCGTGAATAATGACCGTGATTCTTTATTCATTCACGGGACAAGGGTGTTGCTGGCTAAGCAGCGTTTATTGTCCGTCCCTAATTGCCCAGAGGGCAGTTAAAAGTCAACAACATTGCTGTGGGTCTGGAGTCACATGTAGATCAGACCAGGTAAGAATGCAATTTTACTTCCCAAAAGGACATTAGTGAACCAGATGGGTTTTTCCCAACAATCGACAATGGATTCATGGTCATCATTAGACTCTTAATTCCAGATTTTTTAAAAATTAAATTCAAATTCCACCATCTGCCATGACAGAATTCAAACCTGGGACCCCAGAACATTACCTGGGTGTCTGGATTAACAGTCCAATGATAATACCACTAGGCCATCTCATCCCCATGAAGAGATAGTCAAATGGGAGACAGTGGGGGAATGGTAATGTTAGTGGACGTTATTGGCCAAGGCTAATGCTGTGGGGTATGGGTTCAAATCCCACATAGCAGCTGGTAGAATTTAAGTTCAATTAATTAATAAATCTGAAAATAAAAGCTAGTCTTGGCGATGACAGCCATGAACTAACATTGATTGGTATAAATGGCCAGCACTAATGTCCTTTAGAGATAGAAATCTGTTGCTCTTTCCCAGTCTGACCTACAAGTGACATCAGAACCACAGCCTTCTGAAAAGCAACTGCCCTTTAGGAAGCCTCTCAGTTATAGCAAAGACTGCAGCAGTTCAAAAGTTGGCTCACCATTACCTTCTCAAGAGTAATTGGAGATGAGCAACATATCTAAATTTTTCCATTGATGATCTGGCAGACTTTCTTGCTGGTGGGGATGGCAGATTAATCACCCTTAACTACGCACCCCTTCAGTTAACAAATAAAGAGCTAACTCCCATCTCAGGAAATTAATCTAAGCCAGATAAATCTACACATTTGTATATTTTTGGGTTATTCTTTCAGGATCAAATGGTGAATCAAGGACGTACGAAGATGAAACTGAGGAAGAAATTCTGTACTGGAATACAAAGATTCAGCCTCTTCTTGATAAAATTAAGTCTTTAAACAGTGGTGGGTAGTTTTATTTTTTAATTTGTAAGATTTTCTATTGATGGTCATTCTGTTTTACATCAAATCTACTTTTAGATGTAACATCTCTTGGACTTCCTGTTCCTGTGTAATAGCAGTGCAATAATATTGGCACAAAACTGGAAAGTGGGAGCATTGGGAAAATGAAAGAGGAGACTTGGATATGCACCAACCAAGCTAATGTTTCCTCACATTTCTTTTTGCTGTGTGCAGATTGGTTATTGCATTTAATAGTCCTTTTAAGATTGCTGTTTGCACATATCTTAAACGGAATGTTGGGTTATGGATGGCCTGTTGTTTCCTGCACACGATCTTCCAGATTACTGCTTGCTGTGTGTCTGCATAGCTCAAAGGGAGCACTGTTCCTCAGTGCTACAGAGTGCTGCTGGTTGAGTGATAGGGATGCAGCGCACTGACTAGCATGAGAAGATGATGTGTATGAGATGTCATGTGAAGATTCATTCACTGACTTTGACTCTATGTATAAGTTCATTAGACCTCTTCTGGTACTGCTGTCAGGTTCTCTAGTCTAAACTCTGGGAGTTGACTTCTCTGACTATCAGCTCCCACTCCCTTTGGAGACTGATACTAGAGGATCTCTTGGTTTACATACTGTGGCATATTCCCTCCTGGCCATCTGTACCACTAATACCTCCAGTGCCAAATAAATCAGTTTGGATTCTTTTCCATGTCCAGGTAGTAATTTTTCAAGATATTACTAGTATACACATGTATTTACAAACATAAATTGAGTGCAGGGATAGACCATTTGGAGCTTTGAACCTGCTCTGCCATTTTGTAAGATCATAGCTGATCTGAGTGTGAACTCAACTCCACTAACCTGTCTATCTGATTCTCTTGAAAAATTCAAGGGGACATTAGATGAATTTTTGAATAGAAATGCTATACCGGGATATGGGGGATAAAAATGAGATTGGCCCTAGGTAATAGAACTGGTGCAGGCACAATGGGCCGAATAGTGTCCTTCTGCACCATAACAATTCGGTGATCCATTGAATGCAGTTCAACCTGCCTGACGCAACCAACATTTAAGATACATGCTAAGACATCCCCTTAAACCTTGTTCTGGACTGTTTCTAATACAAATGTATCGTTTGTTAAGTAGGGAACTGCACACAATCTTTCAAATGTTATCTCACCAAGTCCTGCAAAATTGTAGCAAATATCTCTATATCTTATTCCCTTTCAATAAACAATAATATTCTTTTTATCTTCCTAATCACTTGCTGTACCCACATTTTGTTTGTTATGATTCATGTCCCAGGACATCCAAATCTCTTTGTACTGGATCCAATTGCTCACCTAAAAGATTCAATCAGCATCCAAACAGGAAGACCACCCATTAACCTGCGCAACTCCACAGATTAAATTTCAGGTCCCCATCCTACACCCTCCCATCTGATTTACTGCTTCTTCCCCATGTCCGACCTACTGGTGCGGCATTAAATTCTTCTCAATGTTGCCTGCATTCCTGCTGTGTACAAACCACACAGGCAATGTTGTGATTAGAAGAACAGCACTGGAAGTCCAGATTCTTGATCTGCAATCATTTAAAATTTATGTCTTACCCACTTTTATCTAACTGGGCGTGGGCATATTGAGAACTGTGGCTTCTCCACCCAACAAAAACTGGGATGTTTGAATTTCTTGTACAATGGATTTCATTGTATCTGTTAATACAATGCTATTTTGACACAGGTGTTTAACACAATCCATGTGTAGGCACTTTGAGGAATGTGTTCTGCTTTTAAAACTGGAGAGTTCATTTTTTTTGTTGAACAACAATGAGCAAGTAATGTTAATTGGTTCAGTTTTCTGCTTCATAAGTTTTTCTTATGGGATTCCAGCTGCCTTTCAATTTAGCAAACCATAACGGTAATGTTAATTTTCATACCCATCAAATGGTTTTGCACCCATAACTAATCAACTAATGAACAAGAAGATTTATTTTAGCTACAATAAGCAATTGTTGGAAATATTCACTTACAGCTTTTGAAACAATTATTTGTAAATCCATGCTGTTAGAACCAAACCTTTTGAGTTTTGAAGACAAAAATTTAGGCTAAATTGAAATTAGAGTTTAAAACTTGACATCTAGCTGAACCTGTTCACAATCATAGCATCATTTGGCTACTACCTGAGCTTTCCACTTCATATCCTTTACATCACAACGATTGCTAACTTCCACTTTCACTAC